AAGTGACTTAAAGGGTAAAAGACCAGCATCAAGATCATGGCTTGTAACCGATTTCAAAGATTCTATGTTTTTTGTCATATTAGTCACAGTTATTAGTGCCTCCAATGCATAATCTGATCCCTTCACCTATATCTAATTATTTATATTAATAATTGAGGACTATAAAATGAACCTTATATGTTATATCCCTTACTCTGGGTGCACTGCATCAAACTCCTAAATTCCTCAACAAGCATAGTGATTGAAAAATACCATTAACTATAGAAAGTTGAGTGATTTTTGAGGTAGACAAGGCTATCAGCCTACCACAAAAAGAAATAATTATGATTGTTTTATTCTTACATACTCTACATAAACATGTTTCAAAATTTCATCAAAAATAAGTTCTCAACCTGCAGATAAAGATATGAAATGATTTACAGAAAGTCTGAAACTAAACACAGTTTTGCATTCTTCTACTTCTATGAGTCATGAAACATCAATTATAATTTTAAACAATTAGCATACAAACATGGTTTATGCACACCTCAAATTTTGGTATATTTCTTCTAGTTCCTCCTTCACATGCAAGCACTGGCAAAAATGCTAAAGCTTGTCCTTTTATGTCCACAAGAAAGTTCTGCACAGAAATAAATTGAGATTTTTATCATAGAAAGAAATCCAAAGCTAGGTAAGAAACAAATTTTAATTATTTTCAAGTAAAAAAAAATTGACATATGATAGAACCAAGCAATCCATTCATTTTGTGTCATGCTAGTAAATTCCTTTTAATATCTTAACATTTACATGTTATTAGTTAAGACAAAGTCACCCTTGATTATCAGCACGTGATTTGGGGAAGGGTAATCCACCATGCCTTGGCTAATTCTTTTTTATTACTTAGTCCTCATTAACAACTTAAGACAGTTAAATACTAGAGCCTACATAAAACTTGGAAGTCAGCAAGAAAGCTTAAAAAAATAAAATAGAAAACTTCCTCACATCAGATCTGGAGTCTACAACAATTCCTAGAACAGAATCCTCTGCATGTAGCACATACTGAGTAAAACAAAATAAATCAGAATACAGAAGAAAACAGAATAGCATTGTTCTGTTCCTAGAGGAATAAACATTAAAATCCTACTTTGTATATAACAAGTAGGTAACTTACATAACAATTCAATGCTGAAAAAAATAAATAAATTTTATATGCATTAGGAGATAAGTTTTCTGGAATAATGCAAACTGCTAACAGTCAAAAATCAGCATATTAATAGCATTTACTTATAGCAATTTGACAGTAAATTCATATGGCAATGAGAAAGAAGCATATTAACCACTAACAGTCAAAAATCAGCATTGTCATTTCAGTCAAAGCCACGCCTTTACACATTAATAGATAGATCATGACCACAGTATCATACTCACCCTCTTCAGAGAATTTTCAACCCAGTACTTATTAGGCTTTGGAAACCTTAGTCTGCCCGCCTTTCATTACAGAAATCACATCACCGTCCTAGAAAATTGACATAAACGATAATCCATTCTATTAACATCATTGAACAGACAAAAAAAAACGCAAGAACTATCATCATGTATTATATCCGTTTTGTTTAAAAATGCTAAATGAGGAGATGAATCAACAATACAAATTCAAAAGCAAGACACCATGAAATTTCACGTTAATGAAATTTATGAGTTCTGTATCACTTCATCCCTACACAGAAGAAGAATAGCCACTTCATAAGTTCCAAGAGATTTAAAAATTTGAGAGCTGAGCATATCTGAATATGAACCGCATCTAGCATACATATAAACTAAAAACAGATAATTAAGGAACAAACATAGCATCCTTAAATCAGTTATTGTTGAAAATGAAGGGTGTTGCGTGTAACCAACTAAAAAATGAGAGAGATGGGAACTAGAATGTTAATGTGTGTTATAAGATTCTATTCGGATATATGTTTATAAATAGTTTTGCTAACTTCTCTGTCGAAAAGTATTTTTTATTATCTATGGAAAAGTTCTCAAAAGTAATTCTATCATATATCTAAACAGAATTTTAATTTTGGAAAATCTAGGGATGCACCTGCCATAGACCACCTCCAAGTTTAATTGTGTGATTTGTCATGCTAGATAGGTCAAGAACAACATCTCCGGGGAACTATAGAACCATTGAAATAAATTATAATTGGCATAAAAAAAAAAACATCTGAACACATGCATAAGGGGAAGGGGAAGCACTAACCACTGATTGGTCAACTAGGCTTGTACAGGATTTGGTTTCCATTTATTGAAAGCAAAAAGATGCAAACTGTAAAAATGATTCAGCATCCAAATGTAAGTTTTCACTTTGCAGCTACCAATTGGATATGAAAAATTGCACACACTTATAACGGTGTGCTAGTTTCAACTTAAATCCAAACACACACTTAGGATTTTTTATGGGTTTTGATAGGAAGATCACAAAATTGAAAATTCTGCAGTTAATTCAAAGTTCAAAACTTCAAGCTATTGTGTATTTGAGAATGATAAGATATCCGTTTGCTCCCCCCCAATGAAGCTGTGATATGATATTAATCCATAAATTAAGAAATTGTACCCTAAAATAAGTGATCCAAAGTGTAAATTAATTATCTCCTCGGTATTAAACGACAACCGTGAAAATATTTTTAGTAGCTATTTTTTTTAGGAGCATCTTTAGTGATTTTTTTTAATTTTTTACTTAATTTAATTTGGCTTAAATATATTTTTAATCCTTTAAATTTAAGATAAATTTATTTTTGGTCTCTCAAATTTAAAATTGTTATTTTTAATCCCTATAATTTTTAAAAATTTTGTTTTAGTCCCTCATATCACTAATAATATATTTGAAAATGACTAATTAAGATGATTATACAATATCAATCGGATTTAATGTGATGTTTTCACTAACAAGAACATCAATAGGTAGATTTTATGCAATAATATTTGATAAATTTTTTAACAAAATTTGAATATAAGAAGTAAAATAAGATTTTTGAAATTATAATGACTAAAAATAACAATTTTAAATTTGAGGGATCAAAAACAAATTTACCTTAAATTTGATGGACTAAAAATATATTTAAGCAATTTAATTTTTTATTATCATATTTATTTATGATTTAAATTTTAATATTTTAAAAATTAAATTATCAATATTTTTAAATATATATATATATATAAAGAAATATCCACTTACTTCAAGAATAAATTTACTTATACTTATTTTTACTCGATGACTCATTCTACATAAAACTTTAATTATTTAACCATTAAACTAAAAGTTTTTAAAACAGAGATCAAGTTTGTAAAGTTTAAAAAAAAATTAAAAATTATTCGATACTTTATTTTATTAATTCAAATTCACAAATAATCATAAAAATATTTTATATATTAATTTGAATTAATGAAATATAATATCAAATAGTTTTTAAATTTTAAAAAATTTTATAAATTTAATCTATACATTAAAGACATTTAATTTAACAGTTAGATCGTTGAAATTTGATGTAAAATATGAGTTATTGAGTAAAGTAAATCTAAGTAGACTTACTCTTAAAATTGATTCTTCTTTTATATATATAAATATAAACAAACATGATTAATTTATAATTCAAGGAATTTTGTGCATTATTTATCCTATTGATTATTTTGCATTATCTTATAAATTTGTATTTATACGAGTGCCAAATATAATTAATATGGTGTGTAATTTTTTTTATATAGTATATGGCGCGTAAAGTTAAAAATTATTTAAATTTGAATTGAATTAGTGGTTGTATGTCTCTTACATTTAAATATACAATAATGACAAAATTTGTTATTTAAAATTCAAAGTGAATTTATTAATTTGCACTAAAACATTTGTAAAAATGTAGGACTTATAAATGTAGTTAAACTTCGATAAATTTTTTTAAAAAAAAAAATTATAGGATGTGACATTAAAATTTTGAGAAGACAATGTTTAAAAAAAAAAACATTTTAAGATAAATTACATAATTTGATATGTGACTCTTGAGTAGAAGTTTTAAAATGTTTTAATAATTTATTTACTTAAAAAATAGATAATTTACGTGTTTTAGGGTTCTATATCCAAATTTACTTAATTTGACTTAAAAAGACAAAGTACAAAATTAGACACAATTTAAATTAAATAACTAAATATATAATTAAAATTTTTACTAACGTCACAATGTAATTATTATCAACATAATTAATATTTCGGTAAGATTAACACAATATGTAAAATAATTTCATGTACTTTTTTAGAGAATAATTTTCATGTATTTATTTATGATATTAAAGTAATATTTTTAATAATAAATAAGTTTTTCAATAATTTTATTTACATGCCCATACATTGTGTGGATTACAATTTAAATAATAATAATAATTATTATTATTATAGTAATAGTAAATATATGTAATGTTTGTTACATCTCAAGAGTTATTTTTAGCTAATCCCAAGATTTAACGTTGCATACATAAGGTAGGATTCGAACCCCTGACCTTACTTAAGCGTAGATCAACCCCTATTGCTGAACCACACGCTTGGGGTTATCTCGAGAGCTATTATCGATCATTGACCCACAATTTTAATTTTTCGTGGTTATTACTCTTTAATTATCATGAGTGCATCATCTATAATTTGTTAACAATTTCCTTTATAACAAATATATGTATCTTACATATATCTCTATGCATTTACTATTTCAAATTTTTTTAAATTTATTAAATATAAAATTTAACATAAATTTAATTTTTCAAAATATACCATATACATTTTATTGCACGTGCAACCCACGGTTAACATCTAATATATATATTTTTAACATTTAAGAATTCTTGTATATATATGCCTTAGCAATTGTTTTGTCCTATACCTTTAAAATTCATGACCAACCCTATCCTCCTTTAATTCTATTCACTCTCGTAATATAATTTTAAAGAAAAAATAAATGTACACATTAGGAGGTTAGAAAACACAAGTTTTCCCCTAAAAGAATGTCCCAATTTGTTGGGTATTTAACATTTCAAGGTATCTCTTTCTCAATTGTAACCTTTTCAATTAGTCGTCCTCACAACACAAGGAGGAACATAATTGTCATGCAAAGTAACATATAGGACTTCAATAGCATCATCACATAATAAAATTAATAATAATAAAAAATTGATCTTGCATATCAGAGAAGCTCACATTTCCTCAAATGTGCTTCTGTTCCTCCTTTTATTTATTTTTTTCCTGGTGGTTAAATTTGATTTGGCACCCCCATTCCTTCATAATATCAATCAACCTTTTTCCATTTTTTGTCAATTATCATCAAGGGTCACTAGGGAAGGAATTTGGCCATGGTTAACAAAATCAATTTTATTCAACCTTAAGCAACACAACACTTCCTCTGGAAGTTCCTCTTGCTTTTGTGCCTGTAAAAGTATAACAAGAAAAGGGTATTAAAATATAGAAGCACACTACTACACCAATCAATCGAGCAACTAGGAAGAACATCAAGCTAACTAGTTACAAGTGCTAAAAGTTTTTTATTTTATCTTTTGTAGGGTACTTCTTAATTCAATTTTAATATTTTTTTTAACCATGATATTAATACTATCGAAAGTAGTGACTATTCTTTGTCAGAACACATATAAAATAAATATTCTTCTTCAAACATAGTTTATTCCGTATTAATGGATCACACTAATACCTGGATAGTTAGGCCAACATCAAGAATTCCATGCTTTACACGATCTCGGAGTGAATCAAGTCCTTTCCTCGATATATAGCTAAAGCGATGAATATCCAAATCTATCTCAAAGTAGTTAGGTCCCTGTAATTCAAATACATAAATGTGTAAAAATATGTAGTGCAGAAGAATCATCCTACATGGTAAAGTGAGCATATGCTAAAAGAAGTGTTAAGATAAAAAGAACTTCAAAAAGATCTTTGTTACTAAGAATTTGTTTGAATAAACTCCTCTATAAACGCTTCTGGAAGAAAAAAAAATGATAAAAAAAATAAAATAAAACAGACTTCTCCATAAACTAAAACTAGTTTATCCACAAACTAATATGTAATTTTTTGGAGAAACTATGTGAGAAATTCTACAAATTAGCTTATGCATAAGTTAGTTTTAATTTGTAGGGAATTTTTTTTTCTTCTTAGTAGGGAAACTTATTTCACTTTTCTGAAGAATTTTATCCAAACAGGTCCTAAGAAAACAATGATTTGGTTAAACAACTTAACATTGATTCTGCAACTTCAAATAGTGCACATCCTTTTCTAAATACCGAGATTCATGTCAATCACCCAGAACACTTGTATTACCATATCTGTAGCCTAATGCATTTAATATATTGCAGAATGAGACCATAACATTTGAATAAATTTAAACTCAAAAGACATAAAGGGTTTTGTATCATTTGTTTGTGTGTTTAACTAGTTTGAGTTTTTCAGTATCCCTACAAAATTTATCAAGGGTGTCAAATGAACCATTAATAGATAGAGAATCCAAAGGTTCTGTTACATTAGATCAAAATATTTTAAACTAATAACCAAAGGTGTATATAAAAATGTCAATACTATGATGAGCTCAAATTTGATACCATAAATATGTTAAAGATTTCTATTTCATAGATTCCTTGAACTGAGAAGTAGTAAGATGTTTTGAGCCAAGTAGAACATAAGTACAAACCCTAAAGAATTCGTGTTGAGGACGTGAAAGCACTGGCTTGCCATTGTAGGCATTGATAAGCTTCTTCTCTGTAGAATTCAGATGAAGGTCATCTGGATTAACTACCCCTGCCAAAATCTTTAGCCTCTCCCTGTAGGGAACCATGCTTTCCTTTGTATATCCTCTCACCTTTTCCATCTCATCATCCATTAATCTCTGTTAAACAAATAATGTTATTTAACTTTAAAAAAAATGCTCAATTTGAAGCTAGGAAATTGCAGCAAGACCAAATGGGAGTTTCACATCTTTTCCCTGAATTTGGAAGATTAGAAATTGAGAATTTATTGCAATTTTGAAAAGGATACTACTAGAAAGCTTATGAGCATGTCATACTAGTAAGAACCTACTTCAAGGGTACCTAACAATTTGTAACTCAAAAAAAACTTGATTCAGTGAAGGATAAGACTTTTTCATGAGTGCAAGGAAATTAATAATTAATGTAAGGATAGTTCAATCATATTGAGATTATATTTCCTTTAAACATAACAAGAAATCTGGCACTGGCAGCAATTGAAGCTTCCTTTTAGGTAACATTATTGCAAACATGCGGATTTTGAAGTTTAATCAAGCAATTATTTATGAGAAGAAATACCTTGATCATATCCTGAAATTTTGGTGAGATCTCTTTCTCAAAATTCTCAGACAATTTAAAATACAGTACAAGACTCAAGCCTTCTCCATTGGCATCACCAAGGAACATGCTAGCAGCATATGTTGGCAACTGATGCAAGAGAAACATAACTATGTAAGCATTCTTTAGTTTTGTTCAAGTAGAAAAACAAAAATAACAGCAAGACCTCATCAAAAGTGGAAATAATATTTGTGACTTGTGAGTATAAAAGGAGAAAACCTGTATGTTAACAATGAGGAGGGAAGGTACACTCTCATGTTCTTTGACAATTGGAAGTTCAAGATACTTAGCAATGTGATTTATCTTCCTTGGACAGGCAAATAAATCTACACCTATTGGTATGTAAGCACATGTATCTGGAGCAGGGCTCTTTTGCTTATCTCTGCATAAATTATTATCATAAAACCAATCTTTTAGAAGAAACAAAAAATAAAATTAATGGTAGTACTAACTAATGGATGAATATATGCATAAAATGATAAAATTGAAAGATACAATTTTTTCACATGCCTGAAAAAGTTTTCACCACGAAGCTTAAACATTGAAGGTGAAATCACAGACCATGAACCAGGTGATGGCTTTTCTTCAGTTGCAGCTGGAATTTGAAGCCCAGCAACAGGACGATAAAGAAATTTCTCAGATGCACCTGTTCAACCACTCATTAGTATCATCACAATATAGATTTAATAATGTACCAAACAGTGCAACACACAAAAGATTGTTGACTGATATATTAAGTACAAATTACATTCTCATTGTTGGACAAGGAAAGCCTCCAAGGTTTTCATACTTTTACATTGAGAGATTTTAAAAGGCAAAGAATTTGTTTGGATACTAGTTTAAAAATACTTTTGAGAGCTTTTCTATTGGAAATAACTCGTAGAAAAATTCTCAAAAACACTTCTAACCTGTATCTAAACAAGCTCAAAGACTATAGAAGGCACAAAAGGCCAAAACATTGAATAAAACCATGGAAAATCTAATATAATAGTACTTACATTTTCCAGTCTTGTCATATTCATCAATTGATGTCCTTTTTACAGAAAGCATGATAACAGTTGATTGTTTTGTGTTGTTTTCTTGAGTTTTGTCCCCATTCTTACAGTTACCTCCATCTATTTTGACATAGCTTTCATAAAATCCCTCATATTTACACCCTGAATCTACAAAAGATGCACTTTCATATTGGAGTAACTGAGTATTTGGGCCACTTCCCAAAGCATTGGTCCCAAAGGGAAAACAATCTGCCAACCATAAAAGAAGAAACAGATAAGTTCCACTAAGACAACATAACAAGAACCAATTCTGAAATAGTCACTAGGAACTAAAAGCCATAAATGCATCACCTCCATGCACACTGCTGAATTCATCATCTGAATCAGATTCTATAATGCTAAGTGAGTCAAACCATGCTTCTTCTTGGTATTTTCCTGCAACATATATATTAAGTGTTCAACATGTTTACCAAAGGTCACAATGAAATCACCAAGCTAAATACCACAAGAAACATCGTCTCAAAGATAACCTTAACAACAAAGCTTTATCCCACCAGGTGAGGTCAGCTATATGAATCGCATGACACCATTTAGCTCAATTAAAAACCAAAGTTTAAATGATGTTATAATAACCAAATAGCCAAACATCATTAGAGACAAAGACATAAAAATCACAAATAACCAAAGGACCAAAATGAAAGCTAAATACTACAAGAAACATCATCAAAGACAACATTAACATCAAAGCTTTATCTTATCAGGCAAGGTTAGCTACATAAATACACGATGCCATTTAGCTCGATTAAAAACCAAAGTTTCAATGATGTTATAATTAGCCAAATAACCAAACAAAACATCATCAAAGACGAAAACATAAAAATCACAAAGAACCAAAGGACTAATGCATGATATAATTAACTCGTTTTAAGACAATCATTAATTAACAAAATTCTCCTATTAGTTTTACATTGCAGCAAGGAGGAGGGGAGAAAACATACCATTTGCATCAATTTGACCATGGCTATGGTATTGAAGCTGTGTGAGATGAAACTTCATGTTTGAAACCTCTGATCTTCTGCAGGGGGCTGAAGCTCCATTCTCAAAGTCCAGGTGAACAAAGTCACTAAGAGTAAAGTCTCCCACACAGCTTCCAGCATTGCTAACCCTTTTCAAAGGCATTTCAGGAAGTGCAGTGGCAATGTTTCCTCTGCGTTTGCCAGATTTGTGTTTTCTTCTTTTGTGACCACTGCCCTTTCCATTTGGATTTGAGGCACAACTCCCCATTGTGGTGGAGGCGATCTTTTTCACTAACCCAGCCAACATTTTGTCTTTTTTTATGAATCACCACAAAAAAGATAAAGCAGTGTGCCTATGATTTATCCCCCTGAGAAGAAAGAAACCTTGCAACCACACAAACAATCAAATTTGTACAAGATTAGCCATATAATATGGAACAAAACACACAAAAAGAAAAGGGTTATTGTTTATTTATACATACTAGGATTGGAAAATCAACTCAATTTAATAGAAGTGGTTTTACCAAATAATGAATTAATTAAACTAAGCAACACCTAACACACACACCAACACAACATATATATACCTCAAGTTAAAAAATTAGCACCCTAGATTTCAACGTCTTGAAACCAATTGACAACGATAATACACCTATGATTAATTGATTATCATATGAAGGCCATAACATAGCTTTGCCTGCACACACCACCTCAGTTTGAAGAAAAACACCTGAATGAAGAAAGCAAGAACATAAATAAACACATAATACACAACACATCCTTCCATATAACAACGATAGCAATATTCAATATTCATACACCCCAAATAAAAAAAGATTCGTACAATGATTTGGCTTGCACGAGTTGACAAAAACAAAGGATAATTACACTTTTCAGGATTCATCGTACATGTATATTCACATGATCACACAAATCTAACAACACGTACGTACGTTGAAGGGGTAACTAATTAACACACATAAAACAGCACATCAAGTCACGTGAAAACAAAAGCAGACTCGAGAGAAAGAACACGTTGGAGATGAATAGGGAACAACAAGGGACATGTAACATAGAAAACACGACATGCATGCAGGAAGGATCAAAGAGAGAGAGAGAAGAACATGCATGAGATCCAAAAGGGTCATTGGTGAGAGGAAAAGAAGATGAAATGAAAGTCACCTGAGGTAGCATAAAAGAGGAACCGTCGTTCCCTGCAGGAAGGAACTAAGATTCCTCTCTTGGCTTCTCCTACGTATGGTTTCCTCTGCCTTTAACTCGTGTGAGATGAAAGGAACAAAAGAGACAAAGAGAAGAGAAGAGGGTTGCAATGCAACAACACAAAATGAAGAGAGAGACAGAAAAGATTTTGACAACTGCACCCAACACAACTCTCTCCGATCTATTCGGATCCTACATGGTTGTCAGAGTCTCTATCCCCATCCTTTCAAATCTCTTTCCATGCCTCTCTCTCTCTCTCCTCTTATTGTCACAACTATAAATACTTTTTTGCTAACTTGTGTTTTCAACCAGTATCAAATCATACAGATTAAAGATCAAAAGAAATTATTAAAAACATGCTATTAAGGTACCTCATCGTAACTTTTAAAACATTTTCAACTTAATCTTTTTATAATCTATTTTGGCTTCTACTGGCTTTACTTAGTTTTGTTTACAAGGATCTTTAATTCGAGATATGGTTAAACACTTTATTTATTTATTCATTTTCTAAAAATCTATACGACAGAATCGACCCAATTCTCTCCCCCACCGGCCACTAGCAACACACTCATTTTTTGTTTTTTGTAAAGATTTATAATTAAAACTATTACAGCAGACAGATAAATAAAGAGTCAAAAGAAAAATAATTTGAGTCCATAGAATTAAATACACTATTTTATCAAATACCTCATTCATTAAAATGACTCAAATTTCTAATTTATCAAAATTAAAAAAAATAATTAATCTAATTGATAATTATTTTTATATTTTTTCAAAATTATCTTTATACTACTATCCTCTCTTAATTAATATAAGCCTTTTCTTTTAACCAATTGGAATGTATGTTATATATTATTTTTATATTATAATTAATATTGTTTATTTTTCTAACTAATTAAAAAAAAAAATTAAAGTCTATAATTAATATCTTTCATCAAATTAAGAAAAATTCTTTTAATTAAGAATAATTTAACTTAAAAATAATTAATATACCAAAAATTATGTATGAGTATTATATAAAGAAACGAATGATTATTCTAAATTGGATCATATAAATAGAACAATATTGCATCAATTTTTAGTTTTTAAATATTGATATGATTAATAACATTTGGATTAAATTTAAAATATATTTATAAACAAAAAAGTTGCTGACATGTTTTGGACATGTCCATTTCATAACACTATTTAAAAAAACAATTCTAATGATAATGAAATGTTGTTAAGAAAAGTAAAAGCGAGATAAAAAATGTTAAAAGAAAAAAATGTAAAAGCGTAAATAAACATTATTCTCTTATAAGTTATAGTTTTTTATTTATTTTTTTATAACTTTCTCTTTGGATTTCCTTCTACAAATATAAAATAGCAAAATACGTGCGTTATTAATATATATATTTTTTAATTAATTTGTTTCAATTTTTTCTCATTCATTGTCTATAATATGTGAACACTTGTAATTATTTGTTAAGTTATTTAATGAGATATATTTGTTAGCATTGCAGGTGAGTCCCATAATTTATTTTTTTTTCACTGAATGTGATACCCATAACTTATTAACAATTATTTTAGTTTTTATTTTTTATTGATTTTATTGAAATGTTGTATTCCTTTTCTTGAATTTCTAATAAATCAAAATTTGACTTAAATATATTTTTATTCTCTTAAATTTAAGATAAATTTATTTTTAGTTTTTTAAATTTAAAACTGATTTTTTAGTTTGTAATTTCAAAAAATCTTGTTTTAATTTTTATATCCAAATTTTGTTAGAAAATCTAACAAATATAGTCGCATAAGATCTACTTATTGATGTCCTATTAATAAAAATATCATATTAAGTTTAACTGATAATATTACATAATTGTCTCAATCTATCATTTTTATATATATTATTGGTAACCTGAGAAATTAAAATGATTTTTTATATATAATTATAAGGACTAAAAATAACTATTTTAAATTTAAAGAAATAAAAATAAATTTATCTTAAATTTGTGAAACTAAAAATATATTTATATTTATGTAATTAAAGTGTTTAATTATTACTGTTCATAAAATGTAATAGTATTTATTAAATGTGATAATAGTATTTAAAATTAGGAAATGAAGTGATGGAAGTATGGATGGTAATGGTGTCCTATGGGGGCGAGTAACGGTAAATTCGTCCCTGCCCGGTTGGGTGAAAATTGATCACATACCCATCCTATATCCGCGCGGGTATCCATTAAGTGGATATTCATGAATTTCTTGAATACCCACGGGTATCCATGAATATTTATAAATTTTTTAAGAAATTAAAAAAATTATATTACAAATAATCTTAAGTTTATATTTAATGTCATTGAAATATTAAAAATATAAATTTAATGTTAATTTTGAACTTGTATTTAACGTTAATTTTGTTGAAATAATAATAAAAATGTAAGATAATCAATAACTTAAAATACATCAATCTCACAAGTAAGTTAAAGTCTCATCACAAAGCTACAATAATTTAATTTTTTAATTCCAAACGAAAGTAAACAACTTAAAATACATAAATCTTATTGGTCCAACAATCAAAGCTAGAAAATTAATCAAATTACATCCAACATAATTCTATAACATGCTTAATACATGTCGGTAACTTCATCAATCTCACTTTTGTAAGAAAATAAGATGAGATAGTGTAGTTTTAGGGTCATGTGATATAAGGATAATTAGGATACTTAAGAAATATTATTAAACGAGTACCCGCAGGTATGGATATTATCATATCCGCCCTCGCCCCATTTATAAACGGGTAAAAAAATATCAATTCGCATTATCTGCGAGTATCCAATTAATCTGTCTATTTATTATTCGTAACAGATTTTACTCGTAAATACTTACGGGTTCGGATATTTTTGTAATTCTTATATGGAAGGGTCACAATCATGGCAGCGTAGCAATGCGCTTTGAGTTGCTAATGCGTGTACATCTGGTATGCAGCATCATCAGAGTGACCCCACTTTTGCCTTTAGAAACTCACTATTTTCTACACGTGTATGCTTCGCTTCATTGTGTTTAAATGAAACCAAGGGATAGTTTTAGTAAGATTAAAGTTTTGAATAAGATTAATTTTTGACGAAGTTGATTTTGATATTCTTAATATGATGGTAAGAAAGAAAATAAACAACAACTTTTCATTTATTTATTTGAATTGAGGTATTAGCATTCACTTCAATTATTTGAGGTGTTTTTATATTAAAAAAATGAATTTAAAAATTCAATATAGTTTGATAATATATGATTATTTTGGATTATATATATATATATACATATATATATTAGACTTTAAAATAATATAAATATATATGTGATAATTTAGATATTTGTTAATATATTTTTATTTTAGAAGAGATAATTTAGTAAATTATAATTTTATAAGCTTATTTTCTTTATAAAAAAAAGTAGAAAAGGCAACTCGTTAATATAATTCTTTTAAAAAAATTATGTGTTTTTATAGATAATCATATCATTGATGTGAAATATTTACTATAATATTAAGTTATTTCTTTTTTTTTCTCCTCCAAATCTTGAAAGTGTTTGAGAGTGTTGTTGTAGTTGAAGCGTTCTTTTTTTCCTTCCTTCTTCGTGGTTTATCCGTGAAAAGGGAGAAGAAATTAAACTGTGATGGTGGTGTGGTGCTACCTCAGAAGCTCGAAGATTGCAAAATTCTCTTCTCCTCCTTTTCGTTTCTCTCCTCTTCGTCTCCATGATTGGAACCTCTTCGTCTCCATGATTGGAATCATGGTGAGGGAAGTTGGATTCAATTTTTGTACGAGTTGTTTGATTTTTTATTGATATATGAATCTTAATCTTGGTTGAAAATCATTGAAATTTGTGGTTGATTTTTAATTGCTTGCATGTTGAATTTGGGGTTTAGATTTCTATGTAGAGGAATTTAAGATGATGGATGATTAAATGTTGATGCATGTTAAATCTAGCGATGAAAATAAGTTGTATATGGTGTTTAGGAAGAAAATTTGTGAAGTGTAGGTGAAAAATAAAGGAGAAAGCATGAACATGTAGAAAATTTTTTTGCACTTAGTGCTAAAGACACTAGAACACTAGAAATACCCCCAAATAAGATATTCAAATAGAGATCCAATGCTAAAGCAACGAAATGAGCACTACAATAGTGAAAAATAGGGTCTGGCAGAGATCTAGCACTGTAGCGGTAGTTAGGCACTACGGCGATGGGGAAAATTAGGCTGACAAAAATTCAATGTTGAAGCGCCAAATTAAGTGTTATAGTGGTGTTGTTAAATGACCAAATTTGGTTTTAGAGTCTTTAGAAAAAGTTGTAGCCCTATTTGTTAGTTTTCCAAACTATTATAGTTTTTATAATTTTCAACATGATAGATGATGGAATTATTAGAACTTAAGGTCTTCATAGAGTTGTAGAAAATCTTCTTATTTTTCAAATGAGATAAGGATGAACATGATAGAAGTAGTAGAAATTTCTATGTGTCATTTTATGTGAAGGTTTTCATTGTATTATGTTGATTTTAAGGAACATGAATAAATTTATTTCTTCTATTGCATGTTAAATGATGTATGGTAAATGTTCTATGTATTTTTATTATAAATGACATATATAGATGAGTTGTATGAACTGTATATTATAAGTTTCATCACTATATGCATTAACTGGATGTAATATATATAGATGATGAATGTATGAGATGTATGTATGATCTCTATATACGTTGACCAGATATAATGTATATAGATGATGTATTGTATGAGGCCTTGTATGATTGATCTTTATAGGCATTGACTAGAGGTAATGCATATAATTGATCATTGTATGAGGTGTAGATGTTGAAAATGTGAGAAGGCATTTAAGCATGTATGTGACAAACCTATATGTGTGTGTGTATGTGCTTGTGGTTTTATTTCTTAGTAACTTGTTACATTCTAGTTATCTAGTTAGTTTCCGCTACTAATCATAATGATTTCAAAAGTGTAGCGGTTAGGATGGGTCGTTGCATCTACTAATTTTGTTAATTACAATAAAAACTTGAATGAGCATCTTTAATGTTGTTTACCTCCTTAAGTTCTCGACTAACTTTTTTCTATTCAAGAAAAATTGAACCTAAGTAAAGTTTCATTCGAATCAAGACTTTTTATTACTTTTTATATGTATGTGTATAAATAACAATGATTAAGTATAAAAAATAAAAAATAAGAAAGTTAGATATGGAATAAGGAGAGGA